GAGTCGTTCTCGCACGAGTAGCAATACGAGGATGAACAGTGGTGGTCGTAGTCGTATCAGTATTGTATGTAGTTGGTTTAGTGGACGTTTGCTGCGGGGTACTTCTGGACCCACGCAGGGCCCCTTGGTCTCCAGGGACCTTTACATCGAGATTGTCACTCCTTCTCCAGGTGCCTCCCAGGACCTCGTCTTCACAGGGGCTCCCAGGAGAGTGTTTTTGCATCCTCTAGCACGTGGCGATCGTTACTTGGGCCAACCCCCCCTGGGGTAGCGGTACACATCGTACGTGTTGATGGGGCCCGAACATCTCCCTCACATGCTGGTGCTCGCGCGCATTCTATTGCGATCGCAGCGCACGCCCGCCCCGACGTGCCCCAACCCGCCCAAACGTTGCCTTTCCCCGAGGCCCTGCCCACCCCCTTTGGGTTTTGACGTGCCCAGCCCATCGGCACCAATGGATGGTACAAGGTGTGCCGACAATAACGCGGCAGCAACACTGAAAGAAACGGTGCAAGGTGGATATATTTGCCGTGCGAAGTGTGCGCGGCCGACTTGCAGAACAGAGGTACAAAAGGCAAGAAGGCAGTGCACTGGGAAGGGGAAGCAAAAGGAAGACATCGGATTGGCAGAACAATCACCTCGCCTGAAGCAGCGAGATTTTGGCGAGATCTGTATGGGATCTGCGTGGGGCTCCACTGTGCTGCCCCCCCAGTAGCCTTCGAAAGTTGCGTCCTGGGCGCCGTGGCCGTGGCGCTGCTGGTCTGCCGCCTGGTGGTGAGCCCCGTGAACTTCGCCCTCGTCGGGGCATTCGCGGTGGCATCCTTGCTGTTGTTGGCCGCCATGCTGACCATGCACACCCTGTACGGTGCGCCCACTGCGGAGATCGCGGAGAAGTACCCCGAGGTGAAGAAGGCCTTCGAGGGTGACGCCGCCGCACCCGGTCCATCCACGGAACCATTCGCCGGGGGGGAGGCGTGACCGGCGCGCTGTCTTTTTCCTCTCATCATCCTCCCCCTTCGTTTCGCCAATCGTGCTCTCCTCTGGAGGCTGGCCAGAAAGAGCATTTCTTGGACTCGGTTGAGTGCTGCCTGGCGCGGCAATGCCCAGCGCATGCAGCATGCACAGGCGCCTCCTCTCTTGGAAAGCTTGTCGGGTTTCTTTCCTCAGCAGCACTCTACGCCTTCTCAATTCTGCCTTCCCTTACGTTGCGAATGTGACAGGGTAGAACCTTAGCGCGCGCGTGTTGTTCTATGGCAGTATTCGTTCATGCGGGCACAGTCTCCCGGTGGTGGTCGCTAACTAGTTTCACCATGGCACATAATTCGACGCTGTATTCGACGCTGCATTCACAGGGCTAAAATGCCCTGCACCTGCGTGTATGTGGCATCATACGTACATGCGTCGGCATCCAACGCTACGAGGCTGCGGCAGCAGCTAGAGCTCCGCTGGAGCTTTGTTTGAAACTCGGCTGAGAAGTGCTTGGCGCGGCGCTGTCCAGCGCAGGCACCGTTTCCTCCTCCTCCTCTTCCTCCTCCTCCTCCTCCTGCGCCTCCTCCTCCTCCTCCTCCTCCTCCTCCTCCTCCTCCTCCTCCTCCTCCGTATCACCCCCCCCGGTTGGCGCAGGGCCCCGCGGCGGTCGGGTCGCAGCATGACGTCCTCGCGCGCATCTCGAGCTCCATCGCGAGGCCGCCCGGGCCGCCCTCGCCCCCCCCCCCCCTCCCCCCCACCCGCGTCGTGCGTGTTCCGCCCGCCCTCCCGCCCCGTTCTCCCCGCCCGCCCTCTGTGCCCCCCCACACGGTATTGCTCTTCAGTGTCCGCACGAATTCGGGCCCCACAAGTCGTCTGGTACGAATTTTGCAGCTACAGACCGTGAGGTCAGACAGAAGAGGATTATATGGGCTTCTTCAGGTGCGAAAGGCTTGACTTCTCAAAACGAGCTGCCAAATCTCCCAAAATCCCAGAATCCGAACACAGGTCCCCTCCCCTTCCGCCCTTCCGCCGTACTCCTCCGCAGCGTGACGGTGAGCAGCACGGCGGGCTCTTGCGGTACGTCGCTAGACAGCACGACGGAGCCTGCTCATGGCGACCATGGCGACTCATGCGTCCGCTCTGGCGCTCCACGACGGCCACCAGCAGCACAATGACGAGCAGCACGCATCAACACGACGGAGCACAGCATGACAACTCGTAAAGCCTCTTGTTCGCAGCACCACCCTGAGCAGCAGCAGGACGCTGGGCAGCAGCGGGACGCTCGGCAACACGACGATGCCCAGGGCAACAGCATTTGCATGCAAGTATGCGCAACACGACGGCCACGGGCAACATGAAGATAGGCGGCACGACGGGCTGCAGCAGCTCGAGGATGAACAACACAACGGGGTTCAGCATACCGCCTCTTGCATCCGAACATAGCGATGAGCAGCACGAAGAGTTTTTGCAGCACGATGCTGAACAACACGGCGGAGAGCAGCATGACGATTCATACCTCCGCTCATGCGCAGCACGGCGGCCACCAGAAGCTAACGAGCGGCACGACGGGCCCCAGCAACATGATAGAGCACAGCTGGCACGAGGGCAACGAACAACGGCTAGTTTCGGGCATCGCCTCATGGGGCCTTTGGCGTTCGGCGAAGTTCCACGTTCTTGTGGCTTTGTGTTTACTGTACAGCCCAATGTCTCCACTCATGCGCAGCACGATGGTCACCAGCAGCACGACGAGGAGGAGGGCTCCAGTAGATCAAGGACGACCAGCACGACGGAGAGCAGCGCCCACGATTCCGACTCCAATCAGGCGCAGACCGTCTGTTTACCAGCAGCACGACACTGAACAGCCCGTTGCGCAGCACAACGATGTATTGGTTCCTGTCTTCTTGGGGCGGTGGCAGGGCCGCTCACAGGGACGGGCACCTTGGTGTCCGTGCTTCCCACAGGGCTTCGTGCTCTGCTGTCTTGCGCTGCTCCTGTGTTCTGGAGGTGAGCTGCTTTTCGGGTGCATATGGCGTGGTGCTCGAGCCAGTCACACGGAGTGGAGCATCAAGGACTTTCGTGCCGTTCTGTTTTGGTTCGGACAGAAGAGCCAGCTCGGGCCATTCCCCTTTTCGCCACTTCGCCTTCCCCTCTGCCCTCTACTTTGCCTGCTTGCGTCTCATTCATCCCCTTCGCCTCCCCGGTGCTTTCCATCCCTCCACTCCTTCTTGCCCGAATGCCTCCTGCGTGAGCTTGCGATGGTCGTGGCCTGTGGCATGGCGGCGAGCGTTGGCCACGGCATGTTCGAGAGAACGCACAGATGTGAGCTGAGGGTGAGATGCGCAGGGCTCGAGCTGAGCGGTGTTTTTGCGATGCCGTGGACCGTTTTCGTTTGGACTCCGTTTGGCGGCAAGGGCGGAGCGAAAGCAGCATGGGGGACAACGAAAACAAAACGAACATTGAAAACATTGTACAATTCGAGCCCCACTGAGACGTCTCTGGTTTGTGAAGAAAGTCCTTCTCTGGTGTTCTCCTGGCTTTCCGGAGCGCTCTGCTTCCTAGCCCCTCTCCGCTCGCCCAGCGTTCTCGCCACCCCGTCTCGCGAAGGCTCGTGCTGTTATATGTACGACATGTGCGGTCGGATGCTCGTCTGCTTGAGCGCTCTCTGGGATGCGTTATCGCATTGTTGCGTCAATTCATGGGCGTGCATGTTGAGGTCGTTGCCCTACGTGGTCCTCGATGTCCTTGAGTTTATTATTCAATCGCTTCGCTCATTCCGCCGGCCCGTATTGGTGCACGGCTGTCGAGTGCCCGTGTGATCGTTGTCAATGGGGTGCTGCTGGGTCGTTTTTTTGTTTTTGGATGGCTGGCTTTGGGTGATTTCGCAGGCGGGAACTTTGCCCGCCTGAACCTTCTGTTTCGGAAGGTGGCGGCTCGTGAATACGATCGCAGGGAACAAGACAACATTCTGCAGTTTCCTTTTTGCATTCTTCGGGCCCCTTGTCGCTTGTTGGGGCCTCTTGGGAGCCTCTTGGGGCGTCCAGGAGGACTCTTGGAGCGGAAGGCTCGGATTCTCGGTTCGTGGTCTCCATCCTTGGGCTCTCTTGGGGCCCTCTTGGGGTCCTTTTGGACCGTATTGGGCGCCTCTTGGGCTGTCGTGGGGCTCTCTTGGACGGTCTTGGGGCTCTCTTGGAGGCCTCTTGGGCCGTCTTGGTGTGGTCTTGGAAGCTTCTTGGGCCGTCTTGGAGCGTCGGAAAGGCGAAAAGGCGAGCAAGCCAAAAACCTTGAAAAACCCAATGGAAATCAATGGTTTTGGCGCTCTGAGGCTTCGTGGACGTTCATTGGGATCTCGTTGGATGCCTCTCGAGGGCTTCTTGGAGACTCGGGAGTCGTTGTCGAGCCTCTTGGGGTCTCTTTCGGGCCCCTTGTCGCCTTTTGGGGCCTCTTGGGGGCCTCTTGGAGCCTCCAGGAGGCCTCTTGGAGCGGAAGGCTCGGATTCTCGGTTCGTGGTCTCCATGTTGGGCCCCTCTTGGGGCCCTCTTGGGGTCTTTTTGGACCGTATTGGGCGCCTCCTGGGCTGTCGTGGGGCCCTCTTGGGCGGTCTTGGGGCTCTCTTGGAGGCCTCTTGGGCCGTCTTGGGGTGGTCTTGGAGGCTTCTTGGGCCGTCTTGGAGCGTCGGAAACGCGAGAAGGCGAGGAAGCCAAAAACCTTGAAAAACCCAATGGAAATCAATGTCCTCTTGAGGCTCTCTTGGAAAGGGTCGTGGCTCCCTTGGGACGTCTTGGAAGCTTCTTGGGCCGTCTTGAGGCCGTGTTGGGTGTCTTGGGCCGATCGTTCGGCGATGCGGAACCCTCTTGGACCGTCTTGGAAGCCTGTTGGGGCCCTCTTGGCGCGCTCCGGGGAGCGTGGAAGGCCGCACCCAGGAGGAACACCATCTCTAAACCGAGTTTGCCGGGAGTGTCCCGGGACCTTGCCGGGGTATTTTCCGGTCGGGGACCCCAAGGGGCCGCTCCGCGCGCGCGAAGTATAGAGTTATTGTTAACCAGTTACCGGAGATCTTAGCACGCCTCTGGCCCGTTGGGCCAGCGAATTGGAGACGTTGATCTGCTCTGCGTCCTGGGGCTTGCCTGGGTCGAAGTTTGGCTCAACTGCCTTATGCCTCCTGACGTGTTTTCTCTCGAACATGACCGGTTGGTGTCGACCGTTATGGAGTCATTGATTGCGGGCATGTGATCGGTTGGTATTGTTGTGTAGTCGATCCTCTCAGTTGTTCCTTGTTTCTTCTAGGTGTAGTTGGGTCTATTCGTGCGTGCTGCTGTGTTGACCTGCGTTGACAGTCGTCATGTCGTGCTTTCGTAGGTACGCGCGCAGGAGCCTGCGTCTGTTCTCGGCATGGGCTCGTCCTCGTCGCCGCTGAAGTCCGAGATGTCCTCGGTTGTGATGCCTTCGCGTCGAACAGCAGGAGGTCGACCTTGTATCTTTCGGTGTCCGCCGGAAGAGATGCCCAGAACTCCTCTGCCTTCTCGTCGCTGCTGTCGTTGTGGTCGGGGACAGATGCCACTGCTACTGTTCTGGTCATACCGGGGGTGTCGATCCTCGTGAAGAGCAGTCGTGGTTATTGTCGTAGTGTTGTACAATGGTTTGGGCGGGTGTACATCTTTCTGTCACCGTTCCCGTAGTATGGGATGTCGTTGTTGATACGCAAAGAACAACAATGGTTGTCGTGTCCTTCTGATATGGTCCAAAGCCCGTTGGTTGGTCTGGATCCTCTTTGGAAGCCTCGTCTCTTGCATGCCGATGAGGTGCACGTTCATCTTCTTCTTCTTGAGCTGTACTCGGATGGCTGCAGTTCTGCTGAATTGTCTGTTATGTTATCTTCCTGTGTGGCCGGGGTCTTGAAAGCTCATGGCGTTGAAGGTCATTCTCTTGCACTCAGGGGCGAAATGTCGTGGCTCCGCGTGTGCTGTTTGGGGTGGCCCCTCCAGTCCTTCTTCGGTCATGATGGGGTATACCGCTTGGATCTTTGGGTCTGCTTGCTGTAGCCATTCCCATTGTCTTTCCCTGCTGGCGTGGAAGGCCTTCGTCCATTTTTGTTTGCGGACTTGGATTGTCCCTCTTGATTTGTTTCTTGGCCAGTGAGTCCGCCAGCTGCTTCCAAGGATGTCCCCGGTGAGCGTAGACGTGGTCGGTGCGCAACTCTGTGGTGGCCTTGGCAAGGTCATGTTGAAGTCGTGTGAGTACTGTCAGGCCCCTTTAGGTGCTGGATATATGCATATGTACGTATATATACCCTACGCGAGTTCTATAGCCACGTTAGAGTCGGCGTGGACTGTGACGTTGGGTCGGTTGTTGTTGTCCGCTGTGGCGTAGATCCGTGCAGATGTCCATATGAGTGTTGGTAGTTCCGATGTGGTGGAGTTGTGTGGTCCGAACTCCTCCTCATTGGTGGCGTCGTCGTTCTTCGAAGCCATGGCGCCATGGTACGTGAAGCCGTCCTTGCGCTCTGCGACTATGGCGACTGCCCATGCGCCTTTGGTTGAATCCTTCTGGCGTGTGCCGTCAGGTCAGGGATGCCATCGTTTGATGTCGTGCATCTCTCTCCGTGGGCATACGTTCAGTGCCATCTCCGCTGCTGGATGGAAGCGTTCTGGCTCGTCTACATGTCAATTGGGTGACGAGTGTTGGTAGCGACGCGTCGCAACAAAAATGGCGAGTGGAT